CCGCAGTGGCCGGCCCCCCGCAGTGGCCAGCTGCAAGGCGGCAGGAGGGCCAGAGACGGGGGCGGGGCCCCAGGGGGGGTCCAATTAGGAGGGGCAGGGCCCAGGCAAGGGGAGGGGCCTCAGAGAGGCGGGACCCAATTAGGGGCAGGGTCCAGGGGAGGGGCGTGGCCAGGGTGGGGCCGTTGAGGGGCGGGGCCAGGGAATGGGTGGGGCAGGGAGGAGGGGCTTCCTGGCTGAGCTCCCTGTGTCCTGACCATCCAGGCCGGCGCTGGGCCCGGCTTCCCGAAGCTCCATGAGTGCCATCCAGGAGCCTGATGTCAGAACCGCCTCCCCCACCAGGGGATGTGGGTGCGAGCCGGTGGCCAGCCTCTGCACAGACCGGGCTGCAGCCCCCGAGGCCCTCAGCCACCGCCGGCTGCAGAGCTGCCCGTCCCCGAGGCACCACCCCTACCGGAGACAGGAGGGGCCCACAGCGCCCCCGTCTGGGGAAGGCCGAGGGAGCCCCCTCCCCGTCCCTGGGCGTGGTGTGGGCGGGGGGCGTGCTGCAGGCCGGTCCGGGGGTGGGCGCGGCTCTCCTGGGCGCCAGGGGCCTTGGTTCACGCCAGGAGCTACTGTGGAGGCTGGTTATGGAGAGGCCGATCCGGGCACCTGCCGGCAGGGCCTCTCCCCCTGGACAGTCACTCCCTCACGGCCAGAGACTGACCCCAGCACCGCTCCTGTGGCCACTGCAGCGGGAGGGGCTGCCTCTGGGGGCGAACCCCGTAAGGGAAGGGGTGTCCCCGTCTGAGTGAAGGAGGGGGGCTGTCTCCCCACAGAGACGAGGCCTCGCCCCGAGCTGGAGCCCCCGCCCCCGCACGGAGCCCGGTGCCCCCGAAAGGAGGGGCCTCCCCCGCCCCCGCTGACTCACAGCGGCCGCCTGCCCGCCCGCCCTCCCGCGTAAGCAGCTCCTGTCGTTGGTGGGAATCGGCGGGTTTCTCCCTCCCGCGTTCCTTAGTCCCGATGGCGGAGGGGCAGGCCGCTCGGACGCCCTGTGCCCCTCTCTCCTCCGAGCTGCGTGCCGGCTGGCGCCCTCGCCACGGTGCCCTCCGAGCCGCGGCCGCGGCCGGGGACCGTTCCCGCCGCCAATGCATCACGCTAATCAGAGGCCGTCTCGGAGATTAATCCATTCCACTGTAACTATTTAAAGGAAAAATAATTACCGAGACTGTTCTCACTCAATTATGCTGCCCGGAGTTGTAGGGGGAGAACGCAGTCTCGTTTGAAGGCGTAATCTGGGTTCTGCGGGTTTTTCTTTTCCGAGATGACGGAGGGGCTGGGCGTGGGGAGCAGACAGGCCCTGTTTCCTCCTGCTCAGGGGGTATGGGGGGGATGCCATCTCCTGTGGCCGGGCCCGGAGCCCGGACCCTCGGGCGGCCCTGGGGAGGGGCCTCCCGGCTGCCTGCTGGCAGCAGCACCCCGGCCGCTGGCCCTGCTCCGAGGCCCGCGGGCTCCCTCCCCTGGTGGGCCCAGCATGGTGGGCGTGGCCTGGGTTTGTTTGCGTTTTCCTGAATCGCGACAGCCAGCCCTCCCCCAGGGCCCAGCACCGCACCGGCCAGCGCCGTCCTGGTCCGTCCTCCAGGGCGCGCTCCTGATTCCCCGGGGAGGGCGGCCGCCTTAGGATGATGGCTCTGGGGCCACCAGGTGCCCTCTGACCTCTGCCGCCCCCCCCCCACCACCACCTGAGCTGGTACCTGAGCTTCTGGAGCAAAAAGGTGGGGGCCAGGGCTTCCTGAACCTCACAAGGTGTCTGCAGGGGTCCTGCCTCCATCCTCACACAGCAGATTCTTCCGGAACCCTGGGCGTGTCGGACCCGCTGTGACTGTGGGTCAGCGAGTGTGTGTGTGTGTGTGTGTGTGTGTGACGTGCGTGAAGCCGTGCGTGTTCAGTGTCGACGCCCCTTTTCCATGAGTCGCCTGACCCCCGTCAGCGATCCGGGCGGCTGGGACGGCCCTGCAGGCCCCGCGCGGAGGACCTGGTCCGTGGCTGTGCCGGAGGCAGCCAGCGCCCGCCCGCCGCCGCTCGGTTCCGGCTGCCTCGTCTTTCCGAGCTGCTGAGTAAAGTAAGCAGATTCCTGTTAATGGGAACGAAGCTTGTCCCGCGGGAGCCCACAGCCCGAGCGCCCGCCTCCCGCACCGCTGCCCGTCCATCTGCCCAGACCATCAGCCGCGGCCGACGTGTCCCGGGAAGCTCAGAGCCACAAGGTCACCCCGGCCCCGGCCCTCAGGTTTGGGATGAGGGGGTCGGGAGGACCAAAGGGATGGGACAGCTGCACCACTCCAGTGCTCCCTGCACACGCCCGTGTCCTGGTCCCCACACGCCTGCTCCCTGCACACACCCGTGTTCGCTGCACACGCCCTTGTCCTGGTCCCCACACACCTGCTCCCTGTACACACCCATGTCCTGGTCCCCACATCCCTGCTCCCTGCAACGCCCGTGGCCTGGTCCCCACACCCCTGCTCCCTGCACACGCCCCTGTCCTGGTCCCCACACCCCTGCTCCCTGCACACACCCGTGTTCGCTGCACACGCCCTTGTCCTGGTCCCCACACGCCTGCTCCCTGCACATGCCCTTGCCCTGGTCCCCACACGCCTGCTCCCTGCACACGCCGTGTCCTGGTCCCCACACCCCTGCTTCCTGCACACACCCGTGTTCACTGCACACGCCCTTGTCCTGGTCCCCACGCGCCTGCTCCCTGCACACTCCCGTGTCCTGGTCCCCACACCCCTGCTCCCTGCACACACCGTGTCCTGGTCCCCACACACCTGCTCCCTGCACACGCCCCTGTCCTGGTCCCCACACGCCTGCTCCCTGTACACACCCATGTCCTGGTCCCCACACTCGTGCTCCCTGCACACGCCGTGTCCTGGTCCCCACGCCCCTGCTCCCTGCACACCGGTGCTCCCTGCACACGCCCTTGTCCTGGTCCCCACACGCCTGCTCCCTGCACACGCCGTGTCCTGGTCCCCACGCCCCTGCTCCCTGCACACCGGTGCTCCCTGCACATGCCCGTGTCCTGGTCTCTCTGGCAGGTGACTCGGGCGGCTGGCGCAGGCACTGGGGTGGGTGTTGCCCAGGAGCCCTCCTGGCTGAGGACAGGCCCCGGAGGCCCTGCCGCCCGCGTCCCTCTCGGCCCGGGGGCTGCCCGGAGAGTGGGTCCCCCTCGGAGGCCCCGCTCAGCCCTCCTGCCGGGCCCCCCAGGGGCGGCGGCCGGTCCTCAGCCTCGGCCACGGGAGCCGGCTGAGGGAGGCCCCCGCCCCACGCTGACCTCAGTCGTTTTATTGTCATGTTGCAAGAATATAAGCAAATCCTCATTAGACGACAAAGTGCAATACGCCGAGACCCGTTTAAAAATTAACGGGAACACGACAACAAAACCAATAGGATCCAAACGGCAGCATCAATTTTACAGGCGACGGTGCCGCAGACACGGCTCTCACCGGCTCCCCGCGGGGCCTCCTGCCCGACGGGGCCCTGGGGCGGGGAGTGCAGGGAGGGGGTGGGGGGTGGGGGGTGTGGGGTGCAGGATTTGGGGCAGGGGGTGCAGGGGGTGCAGGTTTAGGATGGAGGTGGGGCGTGGTGGGGCGTGCTCCGGCGTGCAGGGTGAGGGGCGGCCTGAGGCGTGTGAGCACCTGGTCCCCGGACGTCCCACAGGCCCTGGCGCTGGGGTCCCATGTCTCCCCGGAGGCCTGTTCCGGGGGACTGGCTGCTGCGAAGGGCTGGTTCTGGGAGTTGGGAGCCCTGTGCCCCCACAGGCCCTCACAGGGGCGCTCGGAGCCCAAAGGGCCAGGCCCCCCGGCGGCGGAGCCCCAGGTCTTCACTGGGGAGAACCGTGAGGCACACAGGCCCGTGCCTGTGCGTGTACTCGGGCGAATGTGTGCATGTGTGGACGTGTGTGCATGGATGTGTGTGGTGTGTGGACATATGCATGTGTGCTGTGTGGACCCGTGTGCATGTGTGAGGGGGAGGGGAGGGGGAGGCCAGGCTGGGCTGGTCCAGGGGCTGCACTGTCCTCTCAGAGGCCCGGGCGGGACTGACCTGCTCTCCCGGGGCCTGGGGACGGGCATGGGGGGCCCAAGCTCCCGACCAGCCATGGGGCACGGCCGCCTCCGCACTCGCTGCCGCCAGGAGTGGCCCGGAGTCCGGGCGGAGGAGGACATGAAAGGCCCTTTGTCCCGGCGGGGCCAGGGCTGCGGCTCCCGCAGGAAGTGAGCCAGGGGGGCGGGCCCAGTGCCTGGGCAGATAAAAGGCGTGTGTGAGCGTGGCCTGCAGCGCCCCCTGCAGGCTGGCTGCGCACGCCGGTGCTCAGTGACGCTGTGTCCACTGCGTGTTCATTTTTCAAACACGCCCACCGGCCCGCTGTGTGCCGGGCTGCACGCCTGGCTGTGGGTACAGGTGGATGTACGTGCACACGTGTATGTGTGTGCACGCGTGCTGTTTCACATGTTGATGTGTCTGTGTTTACACGTGCACACGCCGGTGTGCATTTTGTGACGTGTGCGTTTCTGTGTCCATGTACGTGTGTGTGTGTGTGTGTGTGTGTGTGTGTGTGTACACGTACCATACAGCCAGGCGCTGTGGCTGAGGCAGGACATGGTGGGGGCACGCCGTTGGCGTGTTGGGCGAGGGGCAGGTGTGTGAACACGGTCCATTCTGTCCTCACTCGGACCCAGCTCCCCGGCTCCCCCAGCGCCTGAGGACCCGTCCCTGCTTCTCCCCGCGGGCGCGGTGCCGGCCGTGCGGTGTGCGTGGCTGAAACGCCACCCGCAGCCGGTGGCACCCGCCGGGGGTTTGGGTGCTGAGCGCTGCGGGAGCCGGACGGGGGGCGGCGGGGGGAGCCGGGCGGGGGGGGGGGCCGGGCGGTGGGGGGAGCCGGGCGGGGGGCGGCGGGGGGAGCCGGGCAGGGGGGGCGAGCCGAGGGGGTGCCCGTGCCGGTGGCAGCACTGACGCTGTCCCTCCCCCAGCTCGCATCATCCGGACGAAGCAGTGGTGTGACATGCGGCCGTGCCTGGAGGGCGAAGGCTGCGACCTGCTCATCAACCGCTCCGGCTGGACCTGCACGCAGCCCGGCGGGCGCATCAAGACCACCACGGTGCGTGGGGCGGCCCGGCGGGGGCTGGCGGGGGCTGGGGGGGGGGGGCCGTCCCGGGGGCTGGCGGGGGGAGAGGCCCGGGGGCTGGCGGTTGGGGAGAGGCCCGGCCGTCCCAGGGGCTGGCGGGGGGAGAGGCCCGGGGGCTGGCGGATGGGGGGGGGGGCGGGGGAGAGGCCTGGGGCTGGCGGGGGGGGGTTGGCGGGTGGGGGGGGGCCGTCCCGGGGGGCGGGCGGGGGGGGGGGAGGCCCGGGGGCTGGTGGGGGGAGGCGGGGGGAGAGGCCCAGGGGGCAGGTGGGGGGGACCCCGTCCCCGGGGGCAGTCGGGGGGGGGGCTGTCCCGGGGGCAGGCGGGGTGGGGGAGGCCCGGGGGCTGGGCGGGTGGGGGGGGAGGCAGGGGGGCCGTCCCCGGGGCGGGCGGGTGGGGGGGGCGGGGGGCCGTCCCCGGGGCAGGCGGGGGGACCCCGTCCCGGGGGCACTGGGGGCCGAGTCCGGACGGAGGCCTCTCCCGTGGCAGCCCCAGCGCTGTGTTCACCTCACTTTGCCTAAAGCGGCCGGTCTGTGCCGATTTACACCTGATCGGAGGCAGCCGCTGGGGAGGAGCCCTCCCGGGGGCTGGGCTGTCCCTGAGGCCAGAGAGGACGGTGCAGGAGGGCTGGCCAGCCTCTCCCCTCCCCCCTGCCCCACCCTCCCCCACGCCTCACCGCACCCTGCTCTCCCCGCCCCTTTCCCACCGCACCCCTCCCTCCTCCCCCCACCCCACACCGTTTGGCTCCACACTGGATGCTGGGGTGCAGGATGGACCCCCCGGCCCCCAGATCTCAGGGAGCAGCACCCCGGGACACCTGCACGTGGCCCAGCACTTAGACTGCAGGGGCTGCCCCAGCTGGTGTGGCTCAGTGGGTAGAGCGTTGGCCTGTGGACTGAAGGGTCCCGGGTCCCACCCCCTGTAGGGGGGACCCCTCCGTGAGCGCCTGCCTGCCTTTAAATCACCTCGTTTCTCAATGAGGAAGAGTGAAAACGAGCGACCTGAGCAGTGAAGAAGCCGCCTGAGAGAAAGAAGCAGGAGAGGAGGACGGTGAATGTGAGGCGCCGGGTCGGCCGCTGCCTCTGGCGAGGCTGTGGGAGTGCGTCCCCGCCTCCGGCACATGGGGTTCGGGTGTGAGCCGGACGGTGAACCTCCCGGGAGACGGGGCCGGCGGGGTCGGCCGGCGCTGGACACGTTCACCGTTCCCCCCGCCCAAACCCTGGCACGCTGCCCAGGTCCTTTCGGCCAGAGGGCCCCCCAAAGGTGGACAAGGTCACGGCAAGGTCACCTCGCTCAGCACAGCGCCCTCGAGGCCCCCTGCACCTGCATTGTTTTGGGGGTGGCGATAAATCGGGGGACCCGCCCCTGGAATGTGCACTCCCCATGGCGGCGGCGATGGGTCTGTGTCACCTGAACCTGAGAGAATCACAGCGGCTGCGTCCGGCAGCCCTTAGAGAACAGCCACGCCCCCACGCCCCCACGCCGCAGTCTGTGTGGGAGTGGAAGTCTTTCGATGTCTCAGATCGGAGGGGACAGACCCAGCAGGACACAAAGGAGAAGGCTCAGGGCCCCGGCCGACACCCTCTCGGTGCTCAGCATCGGGGACCGCGGACCTGCCGCCCCCAGGCAGAGGCGGGGCCTCGGGGGCCAGAGGCCTGAGCCCAGGGGCAGGGAGCAGGCCCCCTCCCGCCTGGGGCCGGGTCACCCCGCGGCCGCCTGCAGGTTCGGCGTGAGGACACGGCACCGGCGTCGCCGGCAGATGCCGGCAGGTGGTCCCCGGGCCCAGGAGGACCCACGGAGACGCCGTGACGACACGAGGCCCTGTGAGCCGTGCACATACACACAGGCCGTGGCCCCGACCAGAGTCGGCCACGTCGGCCCCCGCCCGCTCTTGTCAATAAAGTTTTATTGGGACACAGCCCCGCTGTTCACACACAGGTCCGCGGAGGATGCCCAGCAGAGTCGTGGTGGGAGACGTGATGGCAGACACATCCCACCTGGCCCTCCCTGCCCACGTGCCCCGGACAGGATGGAGCAGGGCCGCAGCCCGGCCCCGGAGTGTGGTCGGCAGCCGGGGGCGGGAGGGGGGGGAGTGCCGGTGGGAGGTGAGCAGGGCCCCCCAGTGGCCCTCAGGAGGAGACGCCGTAGACCTGAGGTGGGCAAACTCATTCGTCCAGAGAGCCACACATCAGCAGGACAACGATCGACATTCCTCCTGAGAGCCAGAAACAGCTTCTGCGCATGGGCCACGAAATTTCCAGCGCACTGTACATGCGTGCCCCACGTGGCATTCTGTGGAAGAGCCACACCCAAGGGGCTGAAGAGCCGTGTGGCTCGTGAGCCGCGGTTTGCCGACCGCGGCCGTAGACAGGTGCCTTCCGAGACCGGCAGGTGCGGGGGCACCGAAGGCTCCGTTGAAGAGAGCGGTGCGGAGAGCGGGCGAGCAGCAGCCACACACACCTCCGGCTGCAGCGTGGGAGAGGCTGGTGCCGCTGAGATGAGGGCCCCTCGGAGGGTCCCTCCGAGCCGTGACCGGGGACAGGGAAGCCGGCCGGGCTCGCGCAGGCTCAGCAGGCCCTGTGCGCCGGGGCCGGGGCCGTGGTCCCGCGATGAGGCCCCCGCGCTGCAGCCCTGAGCAGGCTGTGCGCAGCCTCAGGCAGAGCAGCCGGGAGCCCAGCCAGGACCACGGTCAGCAAACTCACTCATCCACAGAGCCGAATGTCAACGGCACAAGGATTGAATTTCTTCGGAGAGCCACGTTTTTTAAACGTAAACTTCTTCTAACGCCACTTCTTCAAAATAGTCTCGCCCAGGCCGTGGTGTTTTGTGGAAGAGCCACACTCAAGGGGCCAGAGAGCCGCACGTGGCTCGCGAGCCGCGGTTTGCCGGCCACGGTGCCCGGGGACATAGAGGCCGTGGCTCCGAGGCCGCGGAGCCGTCCTGCGCTTGTCAGCGGGCTGCCTGGCGGGCGGGCCGGGCGGGCCAGAAGCCAGTGAGGCTTCCGGGGCGGGCGCAGTCCCGCGGAGCTGGCGGTGACCTGGCTGGGCGGAGAGGACGCAGCACATCTTCGCTGGGGTCAGGAGAGGGCGGAACCCCGAGGCTCCTTCCTCAGGCTGGGCCAGCGGGACACGGGCTGGGCTGGATCCCGTGAGACGGAGCTGGGCCCCTCCCAGACCCGCCTGCGGGGGGACAGGCCAGAGGCATTGAGGGGGCCTGGGGGTCGGAGCCTGGCCGAGGTGCAGGTCCCCGCCTGCTGGGGCTGGTGAGGGTGCCCGGCCTCACGGGTGGGTCTGGGGGACCCCCTGTGACGGGGCAGGGGGTTGTCACTTAGGAGCCCGGAGGGGCCGGCACCTCAAACACGGAGAGAACAATCGCGGCATGAACTCGGGGTCGCCCTGGGGTCTCCAGGCCAGGCCGGGAGGGGCTTGGCCTGGAACTCAGGGCTCCGTCTAGTTTTCGTCCTGGCGGTCAGCGGGCAGCTGCTGAGGGCTGCCCCGCGGGTGTCTCATCGGAGCCTGACTGCTCTCCTCTCCCCCCGCAGGTCTCCTGACAGACGCCGGCCCACAGGGCGGAGGGCCTGGGCACCCGACAGGCCGCCAACACCCCTCTGCCATCGGCGCCTCCGTTTCTCACAGCCCGACCCGGACGGACGGACGGACGGACAGCCGCGTCCCGGGCCTTGTGAGCGCAGTCTCTGGCTGCGCGAGGAGTCCCGCCCCGGACGCAGTGGGGGTGCCCCAGGCCCCCCACCACCGGCCTCGCCTGCCTTCCCGGCCAGACCTGGCTGCTCCCCCCGCCGAGGAGCCGGAGGAGGAGGAGGAGGAGGAGGAGGAGGAGGAGGAGCCGGAGGAGGAGGAGGAGGAGGAGGAGGAGCCGGAGGAAGAGGAGGAGGAGGAGGAGGAGCCGGAGGAGGAGGAGCCGGAGGAGGAGAAGGAGGAGCCGGAGGAGGAGAAGGAGGAGCCGGAGGAGGAGGAGCCCTGGGGCTGTAGCCGGAGGCGGACAGCCAGCCTGGAGGACGGACTGGGCGCCCGGACTGCCCGAGTCGCTTCTATTTTCTTACCTGCAGTTCACTCGATAGACCAAAGAGCAAATCTGTTTTAACGCGGACTCGCCCCACGCCCAGCCCGGGCCACGGGGGCGGGCACGGACATGCCGGCGGCCGCCCTCGAACACTGCGGGCGCCCGGAGCCGGGCGGCCTCGGAGGGCGGAGGTGCCCGCTGCCCTGCGGGACTCCGGCCGCGTGCCCACGCCGAGATGGACTGACCGTACTAAACCCTCCTAACCACTAGCCACGCCTCGTCGCCATTCGCCGGACGCCGGTCTCCCGCCGCATGCTGCGCCTCCGGACGGTCTCACCGGTGCCGTCCGCCCGGAGGCAATGGAAGGAAGCGGAAGTAACCCTGTTTGAGAGAATCATTAAATGTATTTTGCAAAGCCTAAAGCTATATATTTAACAGTTTTATATGTTGTATATTTGTAGGAAACACTATTTAACCGTGAATGTGGCCGCCCTGGGCGCGGGGCCCGCGGGGCGGCCTGAGGGTTCGGGGCCGGGGGGAGCTCCAGGGCGGGGGCGGGACTGGGGCCAGGGCGTGACGTCACGCGTGGGTTGATGTGTGCTTGGCGCCTGGCTCGCTTCCCGTGTCCCGCCCGCCGGCGTCTGTCTCGGGCGCCGAGTGGACCATCCTCTCCCCTGTCCTGGTGACCCGGCACAGACTTGGGGGGCAGCGGGCACCTCCTCAGTCGGCTGGTGGCGGAGGTCGGTGGTCGGGGCGAGGGCACAAGGCAGGCGTCCGTCCCCCCAGGCCTCCCTCTGAGGGTCCCCTGACCCCCTGGATGGCATCGGTCCGGTTTGCCACTGAGCCCTTTTTTTGGTTAATTCTCACCCGAGGACATGTTTCCCTTGGTTTTCAGGGAGAGAGGGAGAGACGGAGAGAAACATCGATGTGAGAGGAACACATTGATGGGCTGCCTCCCGCACGCACCAGGCCAGGGCCCGGAGGCCACAACTGAGGTACGTACGTGCCCTTGACCGGAATCGAACCCGGGACCCTTTGGTCTGCAGGCCGACGCTCTAGCCACTGAGCCACACGGGCTGGGGCGGGACGCTCCTGGCGCTTCCTCCCTGGCCGCCCTGCGCCAGGCCCCTTCATTCCCCTGCATTCTGGTGAAGTATATACTACCTACGAGTCCATTAACAGGAGTATTATGCTAGTTCTATGCTACTAAAAAAAGAAAAGTTAAAACACACACAGCTATATACCCCCGTAGACACGATAGGACAGGAAACCCGCGTATTTAAGACCCGTCCCCCGCCCATTTCATTTATCCTCCGGTCACCACAGACGTGGACACGCGTGTCCTGGCGTGTCCTGGCGTGCAGGCCCAGCCGAGATGGGGGTTTCCGGTCACAGAGGCGGCGCCCTGCATGGGGTGGTGACCCAGCGGCCGCCAGGCTCAGGAGCCGGACGGGGCCCCGGGGTCCCCCAGCCCCGCGCCCCGCGCCCGCCAGCCAGCGCCCCCACCTCCCCCGACCGCCCGTCTCTGGAACTAGCGAGCGCAATGCCGAGGCCCAGGCCGGGAGGACGCGATGTGACCCGTTTTTCTCTTGTTTCACCGTCTCCGGTTTGTGTTGATTCCGCTAAATTATGGAAATAAAGAGAACGTCCTTTCATACACATGGCTTCTGTTCGCTGGCCGCGGGGTCCTGGGAGCGGGCCGTGGCCGGCGTGGCTGGTGTGGCCGGCGTGGCTGGTGTGGCCAGCGTGGTCGGCGTGGCTGGCGTGGCCGGCGTGGCGGCGGGGACAGACCCCAGAACCCTGTGAGGACGGTCCTTCCGGGCTGGCCAGCCGTGAGGACGCGGGGCCAGGAGCCTGGGCCTCTTCCTGCCGCCCGAGGATGCCCCTGCAGGAAGCCCAGGTGAGTGGCCACCGCCTGCTGGGAGTGCTGGGCCCCGGCCCCCACCCGCAGGCCTGTCCGGGTCCCGCCACCGGCCGAGGGGTGGCCCCGCACAGAGCAGCACCTCCTGTCCCTCAGCTGCCCCTGGGGTCCCGTCAGGGTCCCGTCAGACCAGGGAGGCAGGCGACCGCCCCAGCCCCTCTCCTGGGGCCCTCGCTGGGTCTGTGGGTCCCGCACACGTCCCAGGACATGGGGCAGAGCAGAAGTCAGGGCTCCGAGGCGGCCACACCCGAAGGACGCTCCCGAGGCCGTGAGGAGCCGTGTTAGGTGTCAGCCCCTCTCCGCCCGGAGCTGTGAGCGGGCAGACGGGCCCTGGCCGCTGAGAGGGAGGGGAAGGCCTGGCGCTGCCACGGCCCCAGGACTCCCTGCCCCTCCCAGGGGCCAGAGCCCGCCGGAGAGGGGGTGCGGGGCCTCCCTGGGGCGAGCAGCCCGGGGCTTTGCAGTCGGAGCACAAACAGGGCGGGAGGCATGGCCAGGGGCACCCACCCCATCCTCCCAGGTGTCCCTGTGCGGGGGAGCAGGTGAGACCGCCCCCTGCATGGCCCCTCCCCTGCGTGGCCCTGCCTCCGTATGGCTCCGCCCCCTGCATGGCCCCGCCCCTGCGTGGCCCTGCCTCCGTATGGCTCCGCCCCCTGCATGGCTCCGCCCCTGCGTGGCCCTGCCTCTGTATGGCTCCGCCCCCTGTGTGGCTCTGCCCCCTGCATGGCCCCGCCCCTGCGTGGCCCTGCCTCTGTATGGCTCCGCCCCCTGTGTGGCTCCGCCCCCTGCGTGGCTCCCCCCCCCTGTGTGACTCCGCCCCTGAGTGGTTCCGCCCCCTACGCTGCTCTGCCTCCTGTATGGCTCTGCCCTGCATGGTTCCGCCCCCTATGTGGCCCTGCCCCGTGTGGCTCCGCCCCCTGTGTGGCTCCACCCTCTGTGGCTCTGCCCCCTCTCCCACTCTCCCACCCCAACCCCCCCCCAGGAATCCAGGGGAACAGGATCCAGCTGGAAAAGAGGAGGAGGAGGGGCTTCATAGCACCGAGCTCACAACAGGAGGACGCCCTGCCCACCAGGGCCCGCCCACCATCTCCCCACCCACCATCTCCCCGCCCACCAGGGCCCCTCCCACCATCTCCCACCACCGCCCCTCCCACCACCTCCCCGCCCACCAGGTCCTGCTCACCAGGCCCCACCCACCAGGCCCCGCCCACCATGGCTGGCTCACTGCAGCTGGTGTAACAGCCCCTCAGGCACCTTCCCAACGTGGCCGGGAGCACAGCGGCGGCCTGAGGACCGTCTCCTGAGAGGGCCTGGTCACTGTGCCTGGGGGAGGCCTGAGGAGGACAAAGGGGGGGAGGGAGGAGGCCAGGGGGGGAACAGCATCTGCTCCTCAGCTCCCCCCATGGGGGTGTCACTGTGCCTGCGCTCCCGGCCTCAGCGTGCTCACCCCTCACGGATCTGCTCCCACCCAGGCCAGGTGCCCGGGCCGGAGGCTGGGATGGGCAGGCTGGGCCCGGGCCTCATGCAGCCTGGCCAGAGCTCACCCCACGCACCGTCCTGCGGTCCCATGTCGGGGTCCCTCTCCCTCCCTGGACCTCCTCCCCCGACTGCTGACCATCCACCCCTTCCCTGTGCTGCCCTGCCCTGTCCTCGCCCGGGGCAGCACGGGCACCACACCTACTGTGCGCGGGCCCGGCCGGTGCTGGCCAGCCCGGGCACCACACCTATTGTGCGCGGGCCCGGCCGGTGGGCCTGCTGGGTGCCACACCTACTGTGCGCAGGCCCGGCTGGTGGGCCTGCTGGGCACAAACCTACTGTGCGCAGGCCTGGCTGGTGGGCCTGCTGGGGCGCCTCGCACACACCACCTGCCCTGGGCTCCCAGCGGCTCCGGCTCCGGGCGGTGGGAGCTCAGAGCCTCGGGGTCTCCACGCAGGGGCTTGAGCGGCTGTTGGGGTTTGGGGAGGGGAGGGCAGGGGCGCGTCTGCTGTGCCCTGAGCGCCTCAGAGCGGCCGCTCCTCCGAGAACAGCAGGGAGCTGGGGGGGGGGGGGGCGCGGCTGGTGACACCTGCCTGAGGCCGGACTCTGGGAAGGTCCCTCCCGCCGGGAGGCAGGGCCTCGGCCTGAGGGCTGGGCTGGCCGAGGGGTGTCCGTGCAGAGTCTGTGCTCTGATCCGGGGGGACCCGGACGCCCCTTCACGGGGGCGGGGGTGTCACTGCGGAAGGCCTGTCTCGCCGAGCCCGGGGACGGGTGCCAGGCTCCCCGCAGGGCCTGGAGGAGCCGGACTCAGCGGCCCGGCAGCAGGGCCTGCGAGGCGCTGCCCCCGAGGGCTCCGGGCGCTGCGGGGCTCGGGCTGGGCGCTGGGCGCGGAGTCAGGCCGGGCGCTCAGACCAAGCCCAGGCCGGGACCCCGAGGGAGGCCTCTCCTCGCTGGCTGCAGGGCGGAGGGCGGCAGGCTGGGCTGGGGTACCGAGTCCTCGCCGTGCGCAGGGAGGACACTGACTCCACCCAGGAAACACGCCCAGGCCCAGCCCGGGCTCTGGGGCTGAGCATCCACCTACGGCCCAGGAGGTCCGGGTTCGATTCCTGGTCAGGGCACAGGCCCCGGAGGCCGGCTCCATCCCCAGTGGAGGGCGTGCAGGAGGCGGCTGCTCCATGGTGCTCTCTCATCCTTGACGCTTCTCTCTCTCCCTCTCCCTTCCGCTCTGACATCAACAGAAATATAAAAGAAGAAAAAAAGAAAGAAAAGATGATGCACCCTCTGCCCTCACAGCCCCTGAACCCCCCCCCCCCTCTGGATCTAGCCAGAGGGCCCCCCCCTGCGCCCGGGGCCCTCCGGGAAAGCAGACCCTCAGCAGCAGCGCTCACTGCGCCCCCTCCCCCCTCCCCCCCGCCAGGCCGCAATGCCGGGGTCCCAGCCCCGCGCCTCCGTCCGCTCCGCCATCACTGACGGCGCCACCACTGACGGCGCCGATGACAGAACGAACGCCGATGAGCTCCATTCGGGCCCGGCATCCATTTAACCCTGAACGGAGATGTGGCCGGGCGGGGGGCTCGGGGGAGTATAAGTCATGCAGGGAGCGAGCCTCCTGACTTTTCAATAATTGAACCCGCTTTCCCGCTGGGAATGGCAGACTTCCTGTTCATTAGGCCGCCAATGATGGGGCTGAGGGGCGCCCAGGTGGGCTGCGTGTGGACAGACAGGGCACGGGGGCTGGCGGTCCTCCCGGTGCAGTCCTCCCGGTGCGGTCCTCCCAGTGCAG